GCTTAGATATTAAGAGAGTCCTTAATAGAACATCCAAATGTAATATTAAGGCTAGGATCCAATCACAATATATTATAACTTAGAAGAGGTATGCCGTAATCCAAGCTATAACATATTTGAAAGATAGGTGAATGACGATTCACCAATTTCCACCACGAAAAACGAAATATAATTATTAGGTTTTTAATTGGTTATTAGAAATTCCTAGATTCTTTGAGATTCATTGAACTTTTCAATGGCATGTTTCAATTTCAAGTGTGCCCTCCAAGTTTTGTGACTAGGATACTGAGGATCACAAAACAAGGTGTGAAGTAACCATGCAAATTATTTGGTACCCTTAAAGTTTATCACTTAATCGATGTGCCGGTAAACCACACACGCTCCACCGATACTATGATAAACCTTAAGTCACCCTTTACCAACCTTGTTAAGTCCAAGTTAGTGTGCCGGTTAACCACAAACGCTCCACGAACGACTTAAGCAAAGTGTAAAGTGTAATTTCATGGATTAGCACCTTATTCACATTTTTCCTAAAGTAACTATGATTGGGAATTTAATAAAAACATTTAGTTACTTTATAATATTCATCATACTTTTAATGAGAATTTATAAGTCCTTGTCCTGCCCATTCGACTAACGATCCTCCACCGATCAAGGAAGCGGTGGGTGAGAGTGTACACCCATTAAGTTGCCATTTTATAGGCAACAACCTTATACCCCCCTTATAGACCAACTTCGTGAATGAGGTGTACTAGCGGTAAGACGACTTAATCTTATACATACATATATTATTAACTTATAATATAAAGATTAAAGGTTGAATTTTAACTTTTAAAATTCTAAGGGTTGGAACTAAAGTTTATTAAGTGACTTTACATGTTCCAAAACTTGAGGTCAAGTTTTGTAACTGTACAAAACTTTTCACGTTCATAACTTATGAGTCATTAAGATGAAGACTCTTCATTTTATAACTTATGTGTTCTTTTAATGGATTTTAACACAAAGAGACTTTTGGTTATCCATAACTTGAGGACAAGTTATGGACTCATTTAAAACACATAAAGATCATGAATTAATCATATAAACAAGTAACTCCTATGATCTATCAAGAACTCATAAGAACATGAATACTCATATCAACGTTTCAAGAACATATGAACTCGTATAATCATGAAAAAATTGATATTAGCCATTGTAAATGGATTAGAACAACCATTACACCATCTAAAACAAGTTTTATAATACCAAAACAGTTTAGGGTAATGTTTCTAGTTCATTTCCAGCAGCACAAATCGAATTTTTGCATTTTGCATGGCCAACTCGTCGAGTGCACTAATAGACTCTCCGAGTTTGTTACATTTACACTTGGACTCATCGAGTCCTCCCCATGGACCCGTCAAGTCCCCTGAGCAGACAACAAAAAATCGATTTTTAACACTATTTTGCATCAAGTATTCACAAACAATACTAGGCTTTGATACCACTGATGGGTTTTGAGCATTCTAACACTTCCTAAGTGTACATGCAACCCTAATAACCTTGGATCTATGTTTATCTAAATACATGCAAAATTTGGTTTCCAAGGTTCATAATCCTATCTAGCATACATGGGGAACTTTTATCCTAAAAGGATGGCTAGAATTACATACCTTGTAGTTGATTTTGATTCCTTGAAACCTTGAGAGCCTAGCACTCCAAGTGTGATGCCTCAAATGCTTCACACAACACCAAATGCTTTTGGAATGACTTTTAAGAGAATACACACACTCTAAAAATCGGCCTAGCCCTCACTTCTCTTTTTGTGTGTAGCCGATTTTGGTGGATAGTATGTTCCTTATATAGTGTGATGCATCTAGGGTTACACCATGTAAACCTTAATGTGTCATGACTCTTCATTTCCATGACCCATGGGTTTGTAACTCCCATGGAGCATCCTATGGGTTTAACCCAACTTGATAATCCATAGAGCCTCTTAACCCACTATACAAGTTATTGATGATTTACACAATCAATCCATATATTTAATTAGTTATCTTTTGATCACTTAATTAATTCTAAATTAATTCTTGATCAAACTAATTAAATAATACTTTTAATAAATTAGAACTTATAATATATTAATAAACCACAAGTGTTATTTCTCTCATTTAGTCTATCCAGTTGCATGGTGCTATGTAACCCAAATGGACCATGTCGGGTCGGGTCAAGTACATAACAAAAATAGTTTTTGACTAAGACACCTTATCCAACAATTGGTGCCTTCGGCCCACTAATATAATGAGAAGACTCACCTAAGACTGCTGATAAAAATACTGCCAATCCATATATCAGGAAATCTTACACTGAATATACACAAGTTAACCTAATTAGGATTAAGTCATAAACTCAAGGTTTAGTCCAAAACCCTAAGTCAAAACTCCTCTAATAAGGCCCAAAAGTCTTTCTTCATTAATGGGCCTAACATCCAAGGTCCAAGAACAATAGTGGGCCATAAGGCCCTATAGGCCTAACCATGCCACCTATAGTCCAATAACAAGTTCGAATACCCAAATACTCTAATAGATCCAGGTCTAAGGCTAAGTAGGTCCCAAACGACTCAAAATCCCATCAAAAGTCTAAACCCACTGGAAGTGTACGCCCAACGTACAACATCAGTCCTCTTAGCGTACTGGGTTCCTTGGCGGTAACTGCAACGTACAAACTAGTATGCCCAACGTACAAGCTGTTTTGCACAAATAGCCATTAAGTTCTTGATTCATGAAGCCACTTCATCCATTTTCAAATCCTTGTCATTTTAAAGGTCCTAGGGCGTAAATTTGGCAACTTTATGCCTTTGTATGCCATATGGGAACCAAGCACCATGTTTTCTCCATTAAGACCCCCTTTAAGATCTTAAACTCATGCATGGTGCCATAACAACCATCAAGTTAGCATTTTTGTGCTTTTAACATGCCAAAGGAACTCAAATCTTACACATCTAACCTATGGAGTGGCTCAAACTCACAAGAGAGGATCCATGGACCCAAATGGAATTATTATCAAACCCTAACTCACTACTACAAAAACAGCCTTTTACGACACACAATGCATGTTGTAAAATGCTCAAACGACATGCAAAAAGCATGTCAAGGAAGGCCATATCTTAACGAAATATGAAACACTTTTTTGCATCGTCTATTTATGACACACATTTACGACCTGCAATTACGACACGCGTTGTGTGTCAATGAAGGCCCTATCATAAAAGAAGATGACATGCGTTTGCATTTCGTAACCTTACGACGCCTGTTTAGGACACACATTACGTATCATTAAATCCCATATCATAAATGAAGATGATACCTATTTCCATGACATAAAATTCAATAACCATTTATGATATACATTTACGACGCATCTTTACGATACTCATTTACGCGTAATACAAATATATGGAAAAGAATATATACCAAAACAATCAATTTCATCCAATAACATCATGTTAATTTTTTTCTAATACATTAGTATTAAGGGGATTTGATTGTACATTGTTATTAATAGGTTTTCCCTAACTATATTACCTAATACTACATTGCTATTAAGGAACACCTTCTTGTTTCTACTTATTGTTATGCTTCCGTTTCCACATAATACATGTTTTCATCATCAACACATTAGTATTCAGAAAGGCTGACATCATCAATCTATGTTATCAAATATTAAAATTTAATACACATGTTGTAAAATATCTTTTGCCAAGAATCCAAGGTTCAATACAGCCCATACATGTATAAAATATTAAAATTTAATACACATGTTGATTATAAAAGTTAATATGAAAAAATGAAATAGTAAAATACCTTTTGCCAATTGTCATTACAATAATTCTATACAACCCATACGAAGGTCTGATTAATCATTCTCCAAACTAGTGGGCTCAACTAATGGTCCCTTCACTACTACTCCTCTTTCTTGAATCCCCAACCCCATCTTGGTGATAATCCCTAAAGTTTTACCCCCACTAAAATGATTATCTGTAATATATATATATATATATATATATATATATATATATATATATATATATATATATATATATATATATATATATATATTAATTTAGTAAATAAGTAATCACCTAATCATTTGTCTTCTCTATGTCACTTTACATTGCACAAATTTATGAACAAACATCTTCTTCTGCAACTATGAATGGAAAGAAACTGTTGCTGAGACTATCATCTTTAATCTAATCAAATACACACGATCCAAATGGTTTATTTATTTAAGTAAGAAAGACTCAATTAACTATAGTTACAAAAGAATCTCACCTCTATGAATCCTCTCCCATAAATATTAGGCAAACAACAAGAGAAGCTAAGGGACTGGATATCTTACAACACAAATGTTTGCATTAAATTACTTGGTACTGGTACAGTTTATCTATCAGATAACAAAATAGCTTTCAAATTTTTTGATTTACATGTCGTGGGTTGTGAATTTCCATAAGTTGATGGTTTACAACTGAACAAGGATGAATAATTCATTCCTCCAAAATTGTATGAAATTGATGTATCAATCGACCCTACTGAATCTGGAGAAGAAGATCCACAAGACCTCCCTTCATCCTACACACATACATATCATATATATTCATTGCATCAAATTACTCAAGTGTAAATAAAATGCATTGATTTCTTACATCAACTTTTGCATTCTCTAACAGATTTTTTGCCCACATATCATCATAACTCATTGAAGGTCTTGAAATAACGTTCTCATCATCAACATCGGGTGCATCAGTCCCAATACTAGCAAGAAACTAATTAACCTTCCAAAACCCAACACAAACTCCAAATTATATTATCACCTTAATTCAAGAAGAAAAATGCTTTCCCAATCAGGGTCTAAATCTGAGTTGATTTGCATAATAAAGAATAGATCATTTCTCACCCTATTCATTGTAAGAGCATTGCTTCCCCACAAACCATCATCAACCAGACCTGTTGCCCAAGCATTTATCAATCATCATCAAGATTATTGTCAGACTCCACAGCTTCTGGTTTTATGGTCTCATATAATAGTTCAACAATCCCTGTAGCCACAACAACATCTCTCATGCCACTTGATGCAGTAATATTATGTCAATTCCAATATATCTCAATCACTTTTGCATTGTTTGTAGATTGTGAACAAACACAAATGAATATGCTTCTGCTACATGCAATATAAAAAATACAACAGTTGATGATATTGATGCAATAATATAATACCTTGTTGGCCCTAGAGGTAGATACTTTGTTCTTGCAACATAATAGAATAATGAAACAAGATCTAGAAGCCTTTCATGTTTCTCATATAGCTTCTTCAGTTCTTCATCACTCCACTCTTTTTTGGCATTATCATGGTTACACATTTCCCTGCAAACTCATGTACAAAAAGAAATCATTATAAACCTTTATATGACGATTTGTAGAATAATAAATAAATAAATAAATAAATAATGGCTCATTCATACGCACTTTATGAGATCATCTTGTGCATTATATATTTCATTGAAAACCTTGAGCATTGGACTAATCAGAGATCCAAGACCTATACCATTAGCTCCTTGATCTTCCCCATTACTAGTATGCATATCTGAAAATTGATACTGCACACCCCCTTGTACCAGAGCATGTAAAAATTCATAGATTTGTATCCTGTAAGGTTCACCCGATATGATTGCCATGGTGGTAAGAGCCTGAGCAGCAATGATACAAACTTGAGATGAAAAAAATAGCAATCACAATTAGATGATTTATGTAGCAACATACATACATATATTATATAGATATAGATATATCATATCCTTGTAGTGTACCTCCCAACTACCAATAAGGGCACATCGTTGGAGTCTAGTGAGGGCATTAGCTAGAGTAGGATTGCGAGAACTAGCAACTGCAACCATTTTATCTGCATCTAACATCATGAGTGTAGTCCCAGGAGGGATTCTTGATTCCTAAGCATACTCGGATGCAACATAATTTGCATTTTCACCAAGGAACCACACTTGAAAGTAAACTTATTCATCAAACACACTGAGCAACATTTACATAATCAAACTCAATCAGTAGAAATATGATATGGTACTTACTGTTTCTTGGACAAGCCTCTGTAGAGCCAAAGTTGATTTTGGATCAAATGAAAATACCCTATCGATTGATGTAAGCCCAAACATAAATTCAGATTGTGGAGGTAGCTGATCAAGAACTATTGTTACAACTTCAAGAGTTGTATGTTTACCTTCCGGACCAGCTCCTACCAGGAAACTCTTACATCAACTTCTATAGTATCCAAAAGAGTTCTTGCCCACACATCATCATAACTCATTGACAGTATTGAAACAATGTTCTCATCATCAACATCAGGTGCATCACTCCCAACACCAGCAAGAAACTCATTAACCTTCATAAAGATGTTTATATGATATTTGTAAAGTATAAGATTGAAAACTTACGGTTAAAAGGAGGGATTATTGCGAAAGCGATGATGTGTGTGATTTCTCTTTACTTTCTCTCAACCAGATGGCGTATCTAATTTCTCTAGTGATGATTAAGGAATTGATGCCAAAAATGTTTTGATTCCTTCAATTTAAGAGGACGTGTGAATATCAATTGCTAGGCTCGACACTCCTCGATTTCTGCCGACTGGTGTGAGAAAAAGGAGAAGTAGCCATGGTTCTCTGATTAAGGGATTTTTTGTTTTTAAGTGAGAGAAGTAGTGTGAGGGTGCAGAGTAGGTGGAGACATTTTGCTGGTGGAAGATCATAGATTTGGTGATGGTGCTAGTTTTTTGTGGGACAAAAGAGGAGTGATGACTATATTAGGGTTCTTTGGGGTATTTGAGTAAGAGAGAGAAGAACCGTGGAAAGAAGGTAATAACTATTGCGTTTTGTGCATTCTAACACTCCTAAGTTGTACATGAAACCATATATACCTTGGATCTATGTTTTCTCTATTATACATGCAAATATCAATATTCCAAGGTATTACCCTAACTAGCATCCAATCATATGTACGAGGATAATAAAACAGGATAAAATACATACCTCTTTGTTGCAGCTTGATTCCATGAAGCTAAAGAGCCTAGTGCTCCAAGTGTGACACCTCAAATGGTTTAGACAACATCATCAACATTTGGAATAACCATGAGAAGAGATACTTGACTCTAGAAATCGGCTTGCCCTTTTGTGTATATACTAGTGGCCATTTCACCAACTAATGGGGTCTTTATATAGTGTGTACATTAGGGTTACACCATGTAACCCATGTCTTTACCCATTCCTTATGCTCCATGGGTTTTCACCTCCATGGAGTATCCATGGGTCACCACATGGGTTAAACCCAACATAAGGAATCATGGATCATAAGCCTACATATATATGAATGAATCATTCACATAATCAATCCCTATATATGTAATTAGTTTCCTTTTGATCACAAGTTTAATTCCATATTAAATCTTGATCAATACTAATTAAATAATATGATTTCATATTAATATATTAGAACTTATAATATATTAATACATCACAAATATCCTCTTCTCACAAAAGGTCTATCCAAATGTTCTGATGTCATGCAACCCAAATCACTACTAGAAAACAGCCTTTTACGACGCTCATTGCGTGTCGTAAAAGGCTCAGACAACGCGCAAATGCGTGTCAAGGAAGGCCCTGTCATAAAAAGAGACGACGCACATTTGCGATGCTCATTTATGACGCGCAATTACGACGCGCGTTTACGACACGCAATGCGTATCAAGGAAGGCCCTATCATAAAGGAAGACGACACGCATCCGCGTGTCGTAACCTGATGACGCGCATGTTAATGACACACAATGCGTATCATTAAAAGCCCTGGCAAGAAAGGCCATGTCATAAAGGAAGATGACATGCATTTTTGCGTATCGTAAATTTAAATGTTTTAAAAAATATATGTATATATTTATTAAAATTTTAAATTAAATTTGCATAAAATTTAATGTCATACAATTCTATTTCTTACAATATATAAATTAAATTTACATTGTTATTATGAGGTTTTCCCTAACAATATAACCTAATACTACATTGCTATAAAGGGGCACCTTCTTGTTTCAGTAACTCGTCATTAAGCTGTCTGAAGAAGCTCTAAAACCCTTCATCACGTCCCTTAGCTTCAATATCAATCCCAAATTGGTCACGAAGAATTTGGTTTCTAGCATTCAACTTATCTAAACTTTTTTCAACATGTGATTGTGAACCAATAATACCCTCACTATCTTCTACCTTCAACTCTTCAAGCATCCCAATGTTCCAATCATCGTTAAATCCAGCATCCCAACTTTCCTATAAATCATAATAAATGAGATAAAAGAGAAAAAAACATGAAACTAGATACCTAAAATTGTAAGAACTAATGATATTATTACCTCAACTGAATGATGATCTTGAAATTGTTTTGAATCAAAACATTCCTGTAAATCATAAGAAATAAGATAAAAGAGAAACTACCATTTATGTCTTTGAGAAGTATTTATTTGGGGATTAGCTTGCACCATGGCTTGAAGTGCTTGAAACTAGAACACTAATATAAATTATATTTTTATTTTATTGAGATAACTAATAATTAATATGTATGTAGATATGGTTGACTAGTTTATAAATAAATAAATAAATAAATAAATAATTAAATAAATAAATAAGTAAATACATGTGGACTGTTACGTAGAAAATCCAAGTTGCCAGCAACACCAACAGGAGCATTTGTGCCCATGTCAGGAAGTCCCTAGACCAAACACGACAAGTTTACAATCTACAGGGTCTAAAACGAAAATTAACAAAATGAAAGTCAAAACAAAATACTAAATACCTGAGGGAAGAGATCCAAAGGGTTTGAATTTGGTCCACTTGGAGGTACAACTGTAGTTGGCGGGGCTGGGCAGCCTGCAGACTTGGCAGTGGTGAAACTCCTGCCGCTGGCGGGAGTTCTACTGGCTCTGGTAAACTTATAAATTTAAAATGTTTTATATTTAATTATTAAAATAGAAAGAAATTGAAGGAGTTTAGGCTTACACAATAGAGATATTTAACAACTTTTTCTTGATTATTGAAAGCAACACGAAGAGCACGAACAACTGTATCCCTATCCCAGTTTCCTCCTCCCATATCAAGAAGATGTTGAATTGTACCTTCCAAATTACTTGATCGTATACATCCCCGATCCTAAATAAAAAAAATAAACATTATCACTCATTAATAAATAATAAGGACTAATTGTATTTTATAATTAGGTTATGAGAGAAATCCTGACGTGGCATTCACAACAGGTGTTGGATCCGAAGCTGGAGGAGAAGACACAGGCCTGGAACTGTAAATTTCACATACATTCATTTATATACATTTACATACTGCTTTTGGCTTCTCTACTTCCTTCCTATGAAGTAAGGTTTCCATTAATAGACCTAAAACAAATTAACTCATGCAGACCTGGGCTAGACCTTCCCTGATATATGTCCAAAAAGCACAAGGTCATGCATGATTAGCAACAACACATAAAGGTCTAGGAGCATAGATTAAAAATAAAGAGGCAACAAGATGAAGTAGAAAGGAGAAAAGATTACTTACAAATGACCTCAAAATGATGCCAAATACTGAAGCCAGACTGATAAGTTTAGGCCGTCATCTTTTATCTTCTCATGACCCCCTTGTACATGCCACTCAATCACAACTTATTCCAAAATATCATACTCAAGCTGTAGAGAAAACCACCAGACCACAATTCAATTGCTTTTCAAATATCACACGTAATAAGAAAGTCTTAAACATCCATTAGAGGCATCAACAGAACAAAATCACCACCACCTGTGATAACTGTCAATTTCTGGTCAAGTCAACGTCAAATAAAGTCAACAACTCAAACCGGTCAACTCAACTAACCCTTGTGTACTAGGGCTTATGTTAGGTAAATACTATACAACTCGCTATTCTAATGAGAAGTCATAAATTGAAAAGTATGTACATCTAGATTTCCTTAACCTAAAACTGTGGTAAGTAATGAACCAAACTGATAAAACAATGTTGCATACTCATCGGGAGTGTGTAAGATCCTTAAACATGGCTTAATGGGGTTTACGGACCTTGCATTGCGAAGCCGAACACTCACAATTGTCACACACGAAACCTCTCTAAATCGTTTTCACTCTATCTCTCTCTATTTTGAAATCTCTCCCAAATCTCTCCAAGAATGTGAAATCTCTCCCAAATCTCTCCAAGAATGTGAAATCTCTCCCAAATCTCTCTTTGTATGAGAAATCTCTTCAAGAATGTGAAATCTCTCCCAAATCTCTCCAAGAATGTAAAATCTCCCCCAAATCTCTCTTTGTATGAGAAATCTCTCCAAGAATGTGAAATATCTCCCAAATCTCTCTTTATATGAGAAATCTCTCCAAGAATGTGAAATCTCTCCCAAATCTCTCCAAGAATGTGAAATCTCTCACAAATCTCTCTTTGTATGAGAAATCTCTCCAAGAATGTGAGTTCTCTCCCAAATCTCTCCAAGAATGTAAAATCTCTCCCAAATCTCTCTTTGTATGAGAAATCTCTCCAAGAATGTGAAATCTCTCCCAAATCTCTCTTTGTATGAGAAATCTCTCCAAGAATGTGAAATCTCTCCTAAATCTCTCTAAGTATGTGAAATCTCTCCCAAATCCCTATAAGAATGTGAAATTTCTCCCAAATCTCTCTCAAAAGTTCCTTAAACTTTTTATAGTCTTTCGGGCCATCCCGACCCTTAACCAGGTCAAAAACGGCTTAAAACGGGGTAAAAACGAGTAAAATAGGCTTAAGGACCTGAAACCCCTCTTAAGGAGCCGAACCCTCTTAAGGAGTTGAACCCTCTTAGGAAGCGAACTTGTCAGAAGCGAACCTGTAAAAAGCGAACTAGTCAGAAGCGAACCTCCCTTCGGACCAAAGCTCAGCAGACCGAACCCGAACCTTCCCTTTCGGGCCAAACCTCGCTTGATGGATTGAACCTCGCCTGATGGACCGAACCTCGCATGATGGACCGAACCTCACACGATGGACCGAACCTCGCACAAGGGACCGAAACTACCTTCGGCCCATTTCGCCTCTTACCCTCTTCGCGTCATTTCGCTTTCGGCACAGCACCAGAAGGGACCGAGCCTCCGGCCAGGACCGAGAGGTCTCGCTGGAAGCTCATTTTCACCGGGTTTTCGACTAGTTCTGTGTTTTATGCCCGTTTTTAATTGTTTTAATGTGGGATTTTCACCAAAAACTTTATTTTAACATATAAGGCCCCATATTTACTAATTAACCACGTTTTTGGGGATAAACCTTATCCAAGAAGAGTGGGTGAAGTACAAGAGGTGGAGTGTTGACTTTTTTTTATTCTATGACACAAGCAACCACTCCCATACCCACTCCATGTCACTATTCACCATCAGCCCATACCTAGTCATTTCATGGTACTTTTCGCACCATTTTCAACCACACACTTAGTCAAGGGTTAGAAAACCCTCCTCTATCCTCACATTTCTTTCATTTCCTCTCATTCTTCCATCAAGAACAAACTTCATTTTCTCTCATTTTCTCTCTCTAAAATTCGAGATTCAAGGCTATACTCCAAGCTTTTCTTCTACTTTTGGTACGTATTAACATCCTCCATATGATTATTTCACTTCCTTCTACTCAAATCATAGATATCTTACACAAACTCCATCCTATTGGTGTTAGATCTTCGAATCTTCAAGCAATCTCCCAAAGTGTTCTTGAGTTGAACACTTCTTTTCTCCATCATCCATCTACTGAAATCACATAAGGTGAGTTCATACCTGAGTATTTTCATGTTTTCTTAAGTTTTTTTTTTTTTTTTTTTTTTTTTTGGGGGGGGGGGGGGGGATACAAGTTAAAACACCAAGAACATAATTAAGCTTTGCTAAGAGTTTTCATCAGAAAAGTTGGCCTCCATTCACGGACTGTTTTGGACAACTTAAACATTTTAGTTTTCAAAACTCTATTAGGTTCAAATAGTTCAAGTTATTATCTTTAAAATGAGTACTTGCACATCTCCATACGATTTTTCTACAATTTATGGTGATTTTTACAAAACTGTCTATGATTTCAAACATCAATCCGGACCAGTCTATGATTATGGACTTTTTCATACAAGATAGAAGTCATCAAAATTCGTAATAAAAATTAGTAACAAACTAGACTCATTTCCCAAACTCTCAGAATTTACGGATTCTGATTTGGACCTTTGATGAATTTTCTATAAATTTTCTAAAAACAGTCAAAGAAAATGTTAACGACAGAAAAATGCTATAAAATTTCATTTCACCTTGTAACATGTTCAGCAAGGAGTATATCTTTATGTGAATATATGTTTTTGCAAATAGATGACATTTTATCTTAGTATATAGTCATACATGAGAAAACAAATGGATTTTTACCTAAAAAGTGTAGTAATTAATTTGTTGTTATAATGCATGTTGCTTCATTTTAGTAAAAAGTACATATACATATCGGTAAACAAAAGGGTTTTTACCTTCACAAATACGGTAGCTAACCATAATAAACAAAGTTATAACTATTACATTTAAACGTTTTGATAAACTATAATAGGTATGGTTTATGTTTCCATTAACACATCAAACACATTTCGGAAGGTTGTATTCCCCCAGAAAAAGGTTTTACACTCACGCACAGCACGCCTAAACTTGTTACTTAAATTGTGAGACATTCTCTTTCCATACGTCCGAGTGCGGGATCCAAATTCCTGGTAGTTATATCCAAAGTCTCTTGTAGGGAGGATGTGATAGTTGTGTATAGATGTATATTGGGTTTGACACCCCACACGTTACTGTTAGCTACAGTAGGACCTGCAGGTCTACGGGTGACAAATGTCATTTCAGTTTCGCGACGCCTGAGAAACGTCGTGGCAGGTTCATTCAGTCATAGTATGGTTATAGCGGCTCACATAGGAAGTTAACAACACATAAAGTTTATGGGGATTTTCATAAATCAAAAAGGGTTTTTGTGTCGATTTAAAACCACTTTTATATCAATAATTACAGATATTATTGTATACTTTCAGTCTTGGTATTTAAGACTACACACCATTCATTACGGGATTTTTCTCAAATCAGAAAGGGTTTTACGCCAATTTAAAACCACTTTAATATCTTTAAGTATGACAAATACTTGTTCGTTTTCGGTCCCGACATTTTGGACCACATAACTTTTATAAGGAAAATATTGGATTTTTCTTGGTAACACACCACACATTACAAAGAACGGTTTCCAAACTCTTTATCTAAATAGCTTATGAACTCACCAAGCTTTGTGTTGACACTTTTTCAAACAACTTGTATTCTTAGGAATTTAGTGAAACAGGAAATCAACAGCGTTTTGAGGATGGGACGATAAATCGTCAAATACTTCATTTTGTCATCATAATGAAATTGATTTGAATCATGTAAATATATACTTTGGTGTAACATTTTCAATTATATTTATGATGGTTGTAATTACTTTGAGCACTATTATACTCGTTGTTGTGATACTATACATGAAGTCCGCCACCCCCGGATGTTTCCGCCATCCTTGGTTTGGGTGTGCGATAGATTGGTATCAGAGCATTGTTTATAGTGAACTAAGTATACCGAACAACCTAAGATATACAAACTATAAATGCATTGGGACTAAGGTATCCGATTTACAGTTTTCAAAACAACTATACTTTTAGAAATAAATAGTTTTGTGTTAAAAGTATACATGCATGCGTACATACTAAGGTCAGCATCATTCTAGAATAAAACAAAAGTAATTATTGTCGAATATCACAGGTAAGCTCGGGGATGTATGGTCAGTCTTGGGAGTGGCATAGCCTGATCAACTGTGCTGGTTCGACGAGTGATTAGCACATGCCCAAGAATGTTTGTGATATGGCGACAAGTCTAAAAACTTACCAGCACTATCACAATGAGAACATTAGAACAGAACATGAGTTTAAAATACTATGGGAGTATTTTGTTTTACTATAAGTGCTTACATGAGAACTAAACAGGTCTCTATCATGTAGGTCAATAGTTGTTAAGTGGATACACTAAGGTTATATGAAATTTAGGTGTTATAGACTCAGAATCTATGACCGTTGCTTTACTTCCTGTTCTCGTTGGATTGTGGATTTGGAGTTAGAGTCACCTATTCGAAGGACTATCCTACCTTGATTTCATATAACTGGTATACACTACAAAAGTATTGACATAAATGATACAGATAATCTAATAATTATCTAGATAGTTCATCCAATAATTATCTTCCTACCCGTATTCTCGCACGTACAACATAGCAAGATCCTACTTACCAGA